GTATTTGGGAATGTGTACTGAAAAGAGTAAAGCGAATGCGCTAGCTGAGAATGTAGTTTTAAACATGGTTCCTAACGTGCTTGTCTCATCTCCAGATAAGCTATACTTACATTTTAAAACCATTCTGCTAATACCCTTTTCCTCAGTGACATGAAAGGTCTAAGACCCATACCTTGATCGGCAGGCTCAACATTAATTCTTAGGATAAGTTTTCTCCCGATCACTCCAAACAGCGTCCTGCTGTGGTAGCATTTCTCCATTTACAATGCTACCCCCCTTAAATTCACCATCATTTTGGGCATCTCTCGAGGTTACAACACTCCTGGCATCTTGGCTGTGACAGAGTGAGTAAATCTAAAATGCTGTTTTCCAACATTATTCCTGCCCAAGAGCCACTGTCCCCCTCTACGACTTTGGGTAAATCACTCCCCCGCTGCTTTAATTTTATCTGTTTATAAAATGGAACAATACTTATTTAACTCAAGAAGCGTTATGCAGTTTCACATATTACTCTGCATTAAAAAAATGTTGATATTCTTGAAGGATAGGTGTCATATACCTGCAAATTACAAATGCCTTTACTTCCTTCAGAATTTGTTGAGGTCATCAAGTTCTATTCATACCAATGTGACATCACTGTTTCTATAGTAAATAATGTAAATGAAGTACATAAAAGCTTAGTTTAAATACCACACTACACTAAGAAAAGATTCAACTAATAGCATAAAGAAAACATAATAAAGTGGTGTAACATTATTGCTTTTTGCTTGGCAAAACTGCATCCTTTCTTGACAAATAACATCATATAATATTTTTTAATGCACATACACGGTGTGTACCTATATGATAAAATTATTTGTTCCTGAGGTCATGGAATAACCTGTATTTTTTTTCATTTTATTACCTCACTTGTTCTCTATTTGTTAAGTGCTCTCCCCTAGCACTATGTCTAACATTGCAACAATTCACTCTTCTCCTTCAGATACTTAAAACCAAGACACGCACGGACCAATAAACGTATTTCCTGAATGTCGACAAATTTTGTAAACAAACAAACAAACAAACTGAATGCATTTGGCTTTCAAACTGAATGTTTTCAATTGTCTTTTAACCGTCTAAGTTTTTTTTTTGTTGCAGTCACTGATAAAACAGGGAAATAAGATACTAGCCTTTTTTCAGATAAGCAGTGCTTTTCTTCCCCTCCTCCTTTGCCAGCGCAAAGAAAAACACCACCATCCTCCCAAATTTCTGTAAAAAAAAGAACTGATGACATTTTTAAACCAGAAGAATTACAAATGAAACGAGGAAAAATAATTTAACCAGATGTAGTGCGTTTCTCATCATTTCAAGCAAGGAAATGAACAAAATAAACCTTTAACACACACTTGCTTAGTTCCTGACCAGTAGTATTTTTACAACTGGTAAAAAACAAAACAATTAAGCCTACACTAGCTTTAAAAAAGTGATGAATTAAATGCAAATGATATAAGATAGAAAAAAAACAGGGCTTGAAGGAATCTCAGGAAGCATTTAGTCTAACTCCCCGCTCTAAGCAGGATGATCCCTATCTAACACCAACACATGCTATCTTTGTTACAGTTATAAAAGAGAGCTTTCATGCTCTGGAACATGATTATGACATGATCTGGCCTGCAAAGGCAAAAGCAAGTCTTGTAATACAATCGGGAAACACCTATATTGTAACAATTCTTACCATCATCCTGCTCTAGTAATTTAGCTAATGTACTTAGAGCTCAGCACTTCCATGAAAACCTACAAAGTTATCATTATCAGAGGAGCTACTTCAAGAATCCAGTTAATTATTAGCTTCCCTTTAAAATTTAGAACAGAGACTTTACTGCTACCTTTTAAGTTACCCTGCATGGGTGAATATGTTTGTCATGTAAAATCTGCAGCTTGATCTGTGGAAAACTCACTACAAAACCAATTGGGAGGAAGCATGTCATGATAAATAAATAAATATTTAATGTACTGGATAAATATTTTTATATCAAATCCTCTTCTCTCCCTCTTAGAAAAGAGTGATACTTTGTCCACAATATAAAACCCCAATACAAATATACATAAACAAGAATATATTATATAAACATAAAACAAACTAAAACCTGTAATCCCTGCATGGTGAATGATACATTAATGCCTTCTGACTCCAAGATCACAGCTTTAAACAAGGCAATACATTATGAAAAAAACCAAACACTGGACTAAATGTACCAGGCTAAATGCTTTGTTCTTCACAATTCATTCACTACAAATATATTTAACCTTCATATTTATAGTGAAATATTTTCATATTCTAAAAAATACATAGTTTCCACTGCACTTTGCATTATACTTCAGGAATTCTTGCCAACGTAATTCTGAATTTCAGTTTGTATTACAGATGGTCAGTTTGATATTTGAAGGAGAGTCTCATTAGTACAGTTAAAACAGTATCATAGCTCAGATCCTGTAACTTGTCATTGGATTTTAAGTTATTTTTCATCTTAATTTTCTTCTATACTCATCATGTTCCAATTTATAGTTATGCTTGATGCAACTTCTTGCCATACTCTGGTATTACCAGAAAGACAGGCTCAAATCCTGACAAACAGAAACTGAAGAACTCAGACCCAAATCCTCAAAGTTATTTAGGCATGGGACTCCTATTTCGATGCCTAATTCCTGGTGATTTCAAAAAGACTTGAGCATCCAATGCCACTGAGAATCTGTGTTTAGGCAAATGCTACATACAGATTTGTTTTGGCAACAGAATACATGTACTGTTTTAATAATTATCCAAATTTAAAGCAAATAGTATTAAAAATTACAAAATACAGTAAAGGTAATAACCTCTTGCTAAAAACACAAGACAACTAAATGCCTAACATAACAAAAAATCCCAAATGTCTACTCTTCTTTCCTTCCACAGTTCATAACTTCTAACTGAACATATCTATTATGCTTTTCATTTCACTTGTGAAATTTTTAAATCAAATTGCAGCTCATTTTTTTCCTAATATTTATTAGGAACTAATGCTATTTCAAATTGGCCAAACCTCTCTCCCTTTTAAAAGGCTTCCAAGTAAGTCTTAAAAATACAGATCAAGTCACATTTCTTTCTTTCCTACTACTGCAGAAGAAATATTTCCATACCTATCCTGAAGCCAGGGCTACTTTGAAGAGTGCTGTACAAGGGGAGCCAGGCTACAAAGCAGAACAGCTTAGCGTGATTCTATGGCACTGAGGTGCACTATTTACTGACATCAAATGAAGCTAACAAAGAAACACCAGGCTAACCCAAGAACTCAGAAGCAGCTATGACTTTTGATGAAAAGAAAGCGTATGGACAAATATACATTTGTAGCGGCTTTAAGAGGGAGCTTTGGAGCTTCCAGCAACTCCTATGCTGTAATAGTTAAATGATCCTGCCAGAAAAGTGAGCCTTATCTTTGACCCTGACTGAATGAAGCAGAGTTAGAGTGATTTTGCTTCAAAATCATGAAGATGTAACAGCTTGTATTACTATTCAGGGATACACAAGGCAAGGACTTCTTAGGGTGATACCTTTCATCAGACCAACTATGCAGCTGGGATAAAGATGAGCTTTTGAACAGAAGACATTCTCTATGTAATGGTCCAAAAAAAGATATCCTAAGAAATCCCTGCCTCTTGCACAACTCCTGGACCATTATGACTACAACCATCACTTTTACACTACTGTATTCAACAACAGCGATTCAATTCTCACATCTGTCTAAAACAGGGGTGGGCAATTATTTCAGCTGGAGGGCCACTTAGTGCGTTTTAGTAACCTGTTGAGAACCGCAAGGGTAGTCTCACCCCTTGACACATGCCCCCTGTCTTGGTTGCCATCTTGGGACTGGAAGTCTTGCCCTTAACCCCTGACCTTGGCCACCGAAGTCCCTTCCCTTGCAGTACTCCTTGTGGGAGGGGAAAGCTGCCAGCTTGGAACCAGACCCCCGCCCCCACCCCCCCCATATACTAAGTCAAACACCCACTAAAACATTTTTTCATTTTATTACAAAAAATATTTTTGTCATGATTTGTGTTTGCGTACTGTATATAGAGGTGATTGCATAATGACTCAAAAATAAAGGCTTCGTCTTGTATATTGTGGGGGGGGTGGGGGCATTTGTGAGGGGTATGGCTGCGTGTGGGGGGGCAATAGGAGGGTGTTTGAATATGTGGGGGGTTGTGTGGATAGGGTGTGGGTGTGCAGCATTTGTGGGGTGTGAAGAAGGGTGGCGACTCCCCACAGACTCCCCCCGTGGTGCACAGCCCCCGCCACCGGTGGCAGCCGCAGCAGGGAGCAGCGCTTGGGGCACTCATGGCTCACGCAGGCACTGCCACCTGGTGGCGCGTGGCTCCAGCCAGTGCTGCACGTGGTGGCACGGACTACAGGCAGGCCAGCCTGCCTCCATCATGCGGGGCTCCATGCAGTGCATGTATAGCTCCCAGCACTCGTACACCACTGGGGGAAGCCCTGTGCGATGGAGCTGGCTTCCCCTGGTGGCACACGAGTGCCAGCATGTATGCCGCGTGGCGTCCCAGGTAAGAGGCAGGCCAGCCTGGCTGCCTCCTTGCCACATGCTGCTGGGCGACAAGTGCTTGCACAGGCCATGAGTGTCCCAAGCACCTGCTGCTGGTAGCAGGGGCTGTGCGCTATGGGGGGAATGTGTAGAGGATTACCACAGCCCCCCACCCTCCCTCACACCCACACCCTGCTATCTGAGCTCTGCACTCCCGCCACCCCCCTGGGTGCAGGTTCCGTGCTGCTGCCACCCCCATGCTCCACGCTCCTGCCCAGCTGCAGCTCCCTCCTCCCCCCTGCCACTTCTCTTTCTGGTGCCCAGAGTGAGCAAGACACGGGGAAGCCGAGCAGGATTACAATTAGTTGGTGGGTGCCCATGGGTCAGATGAAATTGCCTGATGGGCTGAATGTGGCCCGCAGACTGTATTTTCCCTGCTCCTGGTCTAAAACCACAGAAACACACGTGGTGCTATCAGTGCTGATGGCTGTATCCAACCTAAATTGGACGGGGAAGATATTTAATACAGTATGATAGAAGGTATTTGAACAAACTGAATGTGTTTAAAGAAGCCATTTCTAGCCATGTAAGCTTATTTAGAGGAAATATTTTGGCTTGAAATAATATGATCTCACTATTTTAGTCCGTAGAGAAAAGTTATTAGATCTCAGTACAACTAAAACACAAGCAACAGCATTTTCTTTCATAGTAAGCATGGTGTGTACCCCTGAGCTACGTTGAACTTTTACTGAAGATGCCAATTATGGTAGCAAAGATGGGCCTTCCAGCTAATGAACTAAGAATTTTGTTGGTTGGATTAACCAGCAATAACAATAATAATAATTATCAGCAATAACACCAGTCAAAGCAACAGTTCTCGCACCAACAGTACTAGAAACATAAGAACATAATAATTTTCATTTACTGGGTCAGACTACAGGTTCCTCTTGCCCAACATCTTGTGTCAGTGTGCCAGAGAGTGTATGCAGAAAGGAAGACTGGACAGGGTAATGACCAGGCTTTTTCTACCATTCCTCTTACTTGCAGCCTCCAGCATTTAAGATCTAGGAAGTTCTGATTCAGAGGCTGCACCCCTCACTGCTGTGCTCAATAGCTAATGATGCACACTTCCTCCAAGAATGTGTCTAATCCCTTTTTGAATCTGGTTAAACTGTCAGCTTCCACATCTTGTGGCAATGAGTTCCAACACCTTAATTACATGCGGTGTGAAAAAAAACCCTTCCTTTTTCAGTTTTAAACTTACCATCTGCTAGTTTCATTTTATGACCGCCTAGTTCTTGTATTGTGAGAAATAGTAAATAATAAATCCCTAGTTTCATCTCTTCACTATTCAGTATTATGTAAACTCTTATCAGGTCTCCCCTGAAGCATCTCTTTTCTAAATTGACTAGGCCTAGCCTCCTTAGTTGCTCCTCATATGGAAACCCCTCCATGCTTTTCAATACCTTGTTGTCCTGCTCTACACCTTCCCTAATACTTCTATATCCTTTCTGAGGTATGGGGATCAAGACCCAGCATAGAATTCAAGGTGTAGACACCACTTGGATTTATGAAGGGGCATAATAATAAGCCGGTGCCCCCTGTACTCAGGCCTCAGCTCCCAGTGTTGGGGCAGGGGGGTGCCTAACTATATGCAATGTGTCAAGGGTGAAGCGGGGGGAGGGGATAGTATGTGGCCCTCCAGATTTGTGCACCCACAGCTGGGCACAGGGCTGCTTCTGCGGCCCAGAGGGTGAGACTCATTGCTGCTCCTGCCACTGCTGTGACTCCCCCCCCAGTCACTCCACTACAGAGTAACGCTGCACTGCCAGCAGCATGAGGAGTATTAATTGGGGGTGGATAGAAGGGGGGGGAGGGGGGATGCTGCCCTCACCTCCTCCCATTGCAAGCTGCTCACACACCGGGCTGTGGCTCTACCCTGCTGCCATGGCCTGGCCACTCCCCTCAGGCTGCCCATGCTGCCCCCATCACTTCCCCGCCAGAGTAGAGCTGCAGCCTGGCATGCAAGCAGCTGGTTGTGGGAGAAGGCAAGGGCAGCGCAGCTCCTCCATCTGATACTCCTCATACTGCTAGCAGCACGGTGTTATTCCATGGAGGCACAGCTGGTGCGAGGGTCCTCATGGTGGCAGCAGCAGCAGTGAGTCTCACTGCTCTGCTCCACCCTCCTGTGTGGAGTCCTGCTCCCTTGGCCAGGGAGGCAACACGGTGCCGGTGTGACCAGGCTGTGGCCCTGTGCCCCATTGTGGGTGCACAGATTTGAGAGGGAGGTGGGGGGAAAAGACCCTCCCGTACCCATCTGACGCATCACCTATGGTGCTCAACACCTCTCTGGGAGTGTGTGCAAAGGCAGGGAGCTGGCCCCTCCACCAGTCCCCCCCCCAGACCAGCTGCCCATGGCTCTGTCCTGCTCCCTGGCTGGGTCCCGCAGCAGTGTATTCCCATCCCAGCCCCTGCACATCACGACACCTGGGCAGGGCCTCCCCAGCCCCAACCGCCAACCCTGCTCCAATCCCTCCCTCATTGGGGGTTCAGTGTAAGCTACTGCTTCTATGCCTCCCCCCCACCCCTCCGACGGCTTACTTTCAGGGAGCTGGGGGAGCTGCTCTTTACCACACTGCCTGAGGCTGTATTGCTGGCCACGTGCATGTGTGCACATGCACACCTACATGTGGCACCCCCTGCGTCCGATTGGCCTCCTCCTGCTTTGCCTAGTCCCAAGCAGGCTCTCGCACACTGGAACTCTGCTAGCCTGCAAGGGGAAACCTGCATTTCCTGCGCTTTTCCCTTTTAAAGGAGAAAATCCACGCTTTTCCACAGCAAACAGAAAACCTGGATCCCAGCTGATATGTTTACACTGTATAAAACTGGACCTGAAAATGTGGGTGTAACTAAAGAAAATAGCTTATTTTCCCCTCTACCCAAGTTGACACATACAGATAAAAAGCTTTAACACTTGTTGCCCTTATAAAATCCCATAGGAGGATCAAAAAATCCAAGAAAGGGACCCGAAATTTAGTTAACCCCCCCCCTAAAATAAATGCCTAGCAATTTAGTCTTGATATTTTTGCTACACACACAAATTCTGCAAGTACAAAAGTAAAGATAGTCATATGTCTGATTAGAGGTCAATCCCATGTATAAAAGTGAGATGCATTTTTTTTATAGTTCCTTTGGAGAGAAAAGGAAGGTAGACTTGTAATGAGTGAAGTCTCCCTCCCCCACCTGTACTTACACCTTTAAAATAGTAGAATAAGGTGCACAGCTAATTACTTCACAAAATCAACAGATACTCTTGTATTCATGTGTAGCTGAAGGTGGCCTCACAGTGGGAATAGTAAAAAGAAAAGGGGTACCTCCTTGGCTTGAAACTGAGAATCCATGTGTATTTCCATAATGGCATTTTAAATAATTTGTTAAAGAGTAAATAAGAAATATGATTTAAGAGTTCACATAATTTGTTTTAATTACAAAAACAAAGCGCATGTTGCTAGGCCTTCACTTCTGTCCAATTATATTCTTATAGTACCAGACTGGATGTTTTTTACTTGTTTCTTAGTTGTGAGAACTTTGAAATTTGGATTCCAGTGTTCTCATATTAACAAGTCCGACAATTAAAATGTTCATCTATGCAGGAAAAGACAGGCTTATGGCATCATGAACATCACTACTTTGAGACTACAACAAATTTAAACAAAACAACCAAAACAATCTTTTAACACACTGAACGTCTACGTTTCAAGAAAGCCAAAATACTTCAAGAAGGCCAATCTTTTCATCACATTTTTGCACTTTGAAAACAATTAAATTTGTGCTCTTAAATCAGTTGGATGCTTTCTAATCTCATGTAAGCTTTGGAGCCCACAAGTTAGGTTCCAATATTTGAAAAGCTTGGCCAAACGCATATAAAAAACTGTTAATAACTTTTTAATGCAAGTCTTTTTTTTTTTTTTTATTTTCCACGTGACAAATATTATGCCATGCAAATCTTGTCCTCAGCAAGAAGCAGTGGTATGTTCTTAACTCAAGTTGCTAACTAAAAGTACAACGTTAGTGAAGGCAAGGCAATGTGTAGTCTCCATTCATGACAGAGCTTATGGAATCAGCAATATAAATACAATATTAATCACTAACGTGACAGACACTTGGGACATGTTTAATTTAAGGCACAAATCAATTAACTAAACTTGATACAACTATCTGGACAAGTAAGGTTAAGAACCCATTGAGAGGTTTGCAAAATTAAGGCCTTAACTTTCAAAGCGTCATTGATAGTTCTGTAAACTTCAGCAGTGCCACCAGAAAACGCATAATTTACTTTGCTGAAATGTTACTTTATGGTTGCATTAAGGCTATTTCTGCTCTACTTGCTATCCGCACCTACAACTCAGTCTCTCCATGCATCTAAGCAGCTGCTGGAGGAAGAGGGGAGGAAAAAAAAAGTAACTCTGTATGTCATAGGTGCCATTTAAACATTTTCCATTGATGTCTCAGATTACCTGTCATGACCCAAAAGGCATGATTGTGTGTGTGCTTCGGCACCAGAATTATCCCCGCCAAGTTGCAGAGCATTGCACGGGAGAGTTTCCTGTAGCAAGAGGAAACCCCGGTGCAGGGACGAGTATCCCGCCTTTTCTGCAGCTTCTTTTGCAGGGTGCATTGCTCACGTTGCAAGAGGAATGCACGGTGCAAAAGAGTTCCCGCCACCGGTATGCAAATTCGTTCCCCGTGATTGGCTAGTGTTAAATTATTCACATGTGGCGGCTAACGATTGGCTTGTTAGCCGTATAAGAGGCTCGAGCGGTTTCTGCCCAAGCCGAAGAGGACTCCACATCCATCTCGTAGGGACTCTGGGTACACGGCAGGGTAATAGAAACCCTGTGTGAGATCCAGAGGAGCTTGGCAGCCTGATCCACCGCCCACCTCTTCCCGTCTTCGAGCGCGACTTTTATAAGACGTATTTACGATTTCCATTTTGGTGGCTCGTTCACCCAGAGCATCCGGAGCGCTGCACCGTGGAGCCTAGCAACCTCCACGAGACTGTCTGTGTTGTCTGTCTGTAACCGCAACTTAAGCAAGTTTTCCTGCCTGCACCACTGCCATCTCGGTGTAAGTAAACAATCTTTAAAACTACCGATAAGCGTTTGTGCCTAATTCCAGCTCGACGGCCTTCCCTCTCCAACCCGGTGTGCCCGGACTGCTGGCCACAGCCCGCGTGCAGCGCGGAAAAGGGCTCGGGTCGCTCCCGGCCCGCACATTACCAACAGCATAGGATGGATTTTTCTCCTTGGACCCGCATTACTGAGCAAGCAGGTGTGTGTTATTTGCATATGCAAGTGGAGTAACTGCACAGTCCTGCTGCACCCCTTGCAACTGCCATGTACAAAAGTTTGTGCAACATGTATGTACAGGTGTAAAAAACCTTTTTTTAAAATCTCTTTTTCAAGGCCAGATCAGTTCCAAATTCAAAGCCCAATAGTCAAGTTCCAAAATTTGACTGAGCAGAAGTCCACCATCAAGTCTGTGTGGCTCTGCCACAGGACAAGTATCCTCCCCTCCCAGACCTGCTGGTTTTGGGCTTCAAATACTCTCCCAATCCGGAAATAGACTTCCCAGATACAGGAAAGCCTCCTACATGCAAGCGCCAGGCCCAGAGGCCTTGGGGTTCAGCTGCTTCCTGCCTTGTTTGACCTTGGCCAAAATATACACATTGGTGCCTGTGTACATGCGTATCCATCTAGTTCAGCAGTTCCCAAACTCCGTCAGATTACACACCACCAATTTAAAACAATACAAGCTTAAGTACCACCAGCAAATTTTTTAGTTCAAACTTAATTACCACCAGTAAATTTTTGTCAGATAAAGTAATTATAAGAAATCTGTTAATACGTACCACTGACAGGTTGTCTGCATGCCACAGATTGGGAACCACCGATCTAGTTAGTCTATATGGTACAAAGCTACCCTGTCTTCCACCTGGGCCGAGCTGGTCACCCTGACCACAAACTGCCCTTGCGAAAGCCAAGGCTAGGGGTCCTCAACCTTGGGAGACTTGAGGCACCGTGGGAACGTGCCAGGTCTAAGCGTTCACTTCTTCCTGGACACAGAATAACCTGAGCGTGAGGCGGCCAAGGACTGGGAGCAGAGCAGGTCTGCAGGGGTTTGACCCCCGGGGCACCCACACAAAATCTCTGGGGTACTCTGGTGAACCAGGCTCGCCCACCTTGCCGTGCCCTCATCATGTGGCCATGACCTTCCAAGCATCCCGGCTCAGGATCCCTGCTCCATGCCCTGGGGCAAGTTCAAGTCCAAGTCCAGTTGTCCCATGGGAGTGATGCTGGACTAAGTGCTACCCACGACGCAGAATCCTCAGCACAGCTGCCCCCAGGCCCCTGCCAGGAGTGTCATGGGGGCGGGGGCGCTGGAGGGCGGGGCCAACCCGCCCCTCCCCCCTCGGAACGTACCATCTCGATGATCTTCGTCTTCCTGCCCGTCCGCTTCTTGACGGTGAAGATGTACTGCGCCAGCACCACCCCGCCCAGCAGGACACATACGCTGGCGCTAGCCACCGCTCCCATCTTGGCCACGGCGGTCCTGTCCATGCTGAGGGCGGAGGTGGTAGCATCCGCTCCCCCCCTCCCTTGCCTGTTCCGGGCCTCGGCACCGCGCCCCTCCCGCGAGCTCTGCGCATGCGCAGACAGCGGTCCCGGGTCTCCCCGCACGCATAGCAGCTCCGGGCGGGGGTGGGGCTGTGAGAAGGGCCGACTGAGTCCTTCCGGTGCCACCATGAAGAAGAGGGAGGTGGGGGGAGATAATCTTTGGGAAGGAACATTTGGAAGGCGGAATATTTTTTCCAGTGCATTTCCGCCTGGACTTGTTCGTGATGCCCTTACACGGCAAGCTGCTGGATAAACAGCTCGGGTTGCAATGGGGCAGTCCCTCCCTCTTCCCCCCATGATATGGTACAACCCAACCCCTCTCGGCCCCCGCGGCGGTGCCGCGACGTTGCCAAACTACATCTCCCGTGGTGTCCCGCGCGCCCCGTTTCTGCTTCCGCTTCTACTCTCTGAAGCGCGGGGACGGGTTGGCTGTTGAAGTGCTATGACAACGGGTGCCAAGATGGCAGTGCTGGGTCGTGGGCGCCTGTAGCCTCCCCGTGAGCCGCGGTGGCAGCAGCAGCAGCAGCAACCATCCAGCCGGGGCGGGGCTCGCCGCTGCCTCACGGGCTGCCCGGGACATGCCCGCCTGGGCCAGAGGGTGGGTCTTGGCTGGGGTCGGGGGCTGGGTCCCGGGACCCGGGTGACAGCAGCAGGGACTTGCCGCTGCTCGGGGACCGGAGCCTGAGGCTCTCCTCGCAGCACTGCCCGAGCCGGCACGCCTCGTCGGCCCCTGCCCGCTCCGGATCGCCGCCCTCCTCGCAGCCTTGTTTTCAGCCCGCGCCATGAGTCCTGCACGACAGCCGCTGGTCGTGGGAAAGCCGATTTGTGCCCTACCCCGCCCGGCCTCACCCCACCAGCCCCTTCGATGCGATTATTTGCTGGACCTTGATGCTAATCCCTTTACGTCTCGTTTGTAGAAAGGAGCCGCTGTTCGGAAACCAAGACCGCGTTGATGGTTGTGGGGTGAGGACCTCGCAGCGAAGGGACCTTTTTCCCAAAGGTAATGATGGTGGAGCAGGGCTGTCCCAATTCATCCAGCCTCCCGGGCTGGGTGAGTGCTGCAGGGCTGGCCTGTGGGGCAGGTCAGGCTTGTGCACACCCCCTTCCCTTGATTTGCAAGGCTGCTGACCCCATAAGGTGACTGTTTAACACAGGGCTGTCAAACACATGGCCCCTGGGTGGAAGGAGACCCACAGGCAGGGCCTGGGACATGCACCATGACGTCTGCTCTGGCTGGTCTGTGATCTACATACCCCCATCTGGACTATGCCTTCCTCCAATATATCAGTTCCAGTGCCTGCGCCGAGCAGTCTGGGACCCGTGCTGCATGTGGCACGGATCCCAGAGCTGCCAGAAAAGGGGTCTGTGTGGCACAGTCTGGCTGGGGACATGTAGCAGGGATCCTAGAGCAGCAGCAGGCTGTGCCTGCCCCTGTCAGACTGCTCCATGCATGGTGCCTGCTCCAGCTGGTCTGGGACCTGTGCTGCATGTGGGACTCATGGGTGCCATGTGCAGTGCTTGTTCCAGACAGGCTGGGGCAAGTGACATGTGCAGTGGAGTCCCAGAGCTGCTGGGGTGGGTGCAGTCCAGCTGGGGTATGTAGCGCAGATCCCGAACCAGCCAGAGCAGCTGTCATGGTACATGTCCCAGGCCCTGCCAGTGGGTGTCTCTTCACACCTAGGGACCATATGTTTGACACCTGTGTGTTAGATTATCACCTTCTTAAGGTAACAGCAGCCTTGCCCAATCTGTGTCTAAATTCTAACAGCTTCCAAGTTTAACTACTTTCCGAGTAAACGATACTAGGGCTATACAAGGGGTCCAATTAACTTTCAAGAGTCCTTGGAAAATACCTATTTAATGGGGAAAAATGGGGAGATGTTTTTTGCTAGTGATGTTCAGGTCCTGAAAGAGGTGTTTTATGTTGTGCTATATAATGTGGTATTGCTTTTTATAAAAATTCCACAAAGACTGTAAAGTCCTCTGTGACATCATGTAATAATACTGTGAAAAGGATCAAGCCGTGGAAGTCCTTGGAATGGAAGTAACAGAACTTTTATTCCTAAATCATGCTCTTCAGATTGCATCTGGACTTCATCCCATCATGTAGTCTTATAACCAGGGATCCTGGATTTCTTTGTTTAAAATCGCAAATTCTCTGATAAAAAATCCAAATTCCCATTTTCTACCCCCTATCCCCCCAGGAGTGTGTGCAGTGGCAGGGTGACAGACCTCCCACCATGAGCCGCCTGCGCCCCTATCCCACTCCTCAGCTAGGCCCTGCGGTCGTACATTCCCAATTAAGGCCCCATGAATCGCCCCAGCCCTGCCCAACTCCCCCCCCCCGCTTACGTGGTGGGAACTGCAGGAGCTGCTCTCCATGATGCCTGGCTGCCACATGCATGTGTGCGCACAGATATGCACATGGTGCCCCCTGCCTGATTGCTCTCCTCCCTTGTAGGCTGGTAGTTCCAGCCTGGGAAAGCCTGCTGTTTCCCACACTTTTCTCCTTTTAAGAGAGAAAAATGCAGATTTTCTCTTAGCTTATGTTGTTTTGGAAATATATGCGTAACCTCAATTATTTAGAATGTGGTTTACGCTCATTTTAAAAAAATTTTCACTAAACAAATATAAACATTTAAAAGCAAAAATATTTTAGTTTAACGTTTGCCACAAAAGGCAATATTGCTTGTATAATTTGATATATAAAATATGGATTTTATCACAGAGTTGATTCTTCCTTTTAGAGTGAAGAAGAATGTCTTTATTTAAAGCTCGAGATTGGTGGTACACAACACTTGGAGAAAAAGAAGAATTTGATCAAGGATGTCTATGTGTAGCTGATGTTGACAACAGTGGCACTGGACAAGGTAAACATATTCTCAGCTGGCATTCCAGTCTTACTGGTGATTTACAACTGCAATTTTCATTTATGCTATCGGTATATACTGAATGCTCATTAATCAAAGAAGAGAAAATCTATTTCTTTTGTTTATTTTTGAGTGCTTTTGAGGTCATCCAGTTCCACTGGTTGTAGAATTACAGTCTATTAGGTGGGTGCCTCTCAGTGGTAAGCATGTTAATTTTCGTCATCAGATCTTTCCAGAGATTTCTCATTGGTTTCCAACTGTGAGACCTGACTTATGAAGCACTAAATGTTTTGGGATCTAGTTGCTTGAAATTACCTTCCCATGACATACTCCCGTATTTCTAATCAGCAGAGGCTCTTGAGTTCGGGTCGGGTTGCATCACTATTAGACAAGGCTGATTTGTTTTGTTTTGTTTTGTTTTGTTTTGTTTGAAATTCATCTCAACTTGTTGACTTCTGGGCATGCTATCTAAATAGGTATTGATTGAGGCAATTAAATTTGGAATTTGTCTAGTGAGGAGGTACAGCTTGTTGGGGAAAGTGGTTTCTACTGGTCATGTTACTAAATGTTTAAATGATTTGTTTTGGTGGAAAAGGCAGTGTTTCAGGCAATATTTTACTTCCTTTTCTATAAAAGCATGTTAAAGATGAGTAGCTTTTGATATGGAGTTCAAGACAAAAAGTAAATAAAAAACAAATGAAATAAACAGGAATCTAATTACCTGCAATTGTACATCTGGAAGAGAAAAATGTTTTCTCTTTTTGAGAAATTTCTGTAGTGTGCATGCAAATTGGATAGCTTTGGATTTTTAAGGGTTAATGGTAATATTAAAGCTATTTTCTTGATAGGCTAAAGTCAAGCTGAGATGACTATTACTGAGAACTTGCCACAGAAACAGATGAGGCAGAGAAAATTCTGAGTAGTGAATTGCAGCATGGAAGCTCTTTGCCACAGAAGAGGTGGGGAAATAGACAGCCTTCTCTTCACAAATGTGAATTGGTACCCTGTACGATTGGTCCAAGTGGGGAAAAAGCTGCTAAAATCTTGACTGTCTCCAGTCTGAAACAGTTGTCCTCCAGCTACACCTACTTGGCTTGTAGGCAAGTTTGGCCACTATCATAGGTAGTAGATTCATGTCTGGAGGAAATAATTGTTGATGTCTTCTCTGGGGAGTTGAAGTTTTTTCATTATTTGTGTTACTTTAATCAAATACAGTTAAACAAGCATCTGGCAACATAGTGATAAAATACGTTGTAATAATCATAACTTTAAAAATGGTGAACCAGATCTAGTCCTGATATAATTAGGCACAGATTCCTTGGAAGTCAATGATTGTTTCAGGGCAATAAAGCGTAGAATGGTCTAATTTCAAACTTAAGTGTTGAAACCATCAGATTTAAACTTTTCATTTGGGAAGTGTATAAAAAGTTTTATAAGTCAATATTCTGTTGCTTGTTTGATTAGAAAAAACAACAACATCTAAACATTTGGAGGAACTGACTACAGCCAGAAAAGAGATTTGGGGTATTTGAATTTCTAGAATCATGGCTGCACTGTGGTGTCACCCTGATCCACCTTGTCTTTGCTTCATTACTGAAAAATTAAAGAAAACAATTATCTAGGCTGTAGAATTACAGTAGGATTATGTGTAAACACCCTATTGCTGAATGAGTATACTTCTAAGAACACCTTCAGTAAACTTAATAATATTAATTAGTTTCCTTGTCTGTCTTGTAGCCTTCCTCTTTACTCTTTGGCAATCTTTCCACAGATAAAATAATCGTGGGCAGTTATATGGGATTTCTTCGAATCTTTAATCCTCATCCTGTAAAACCTGGAGATGGAACGCAAGCTGAAGATTTGCTCCTGGAAGTGCAATTGCGAGAGCCAGTACTGCAGGTGGAAGTAGGAAAATTTGTTTCGTAAGTAAACAGACCGTGCTGCTGGTAATGACTGCACTAATTAGCAGGCTTTATGTAATTTTTATCACTTGAACCACAGTCACCTCTCTAAAGATCAGGCATACTACTTTTGGTAAGTGTCTAGGGCTTAGATATCATCTACCTTATTTGAATCAACTGCTACTCCTTGGCCCAACAGTGTTCTGCTCTGTCAACTGAAAAATAAAAATAAAATTTCTCGAGTTTTGAATTACGCATGACTTTGAATTATTAAATCTTTTTAACCCTGATGAATGGTTTTTGAACCCGAAAGCTTGCTTAATAATTGTTTTCCAACTATTTTAGGTTGGTCTAATAAAGATATCAGATTCATCCAAAGAACCTTGTCTGCCTAAATCTTTTTAGTAACACTTTTTCTATTTATTCTATTTATTAATTTAGTTTTGTGAGCATATTAAAAACTTACAAATGTATTTGTTCTGCGGTTGCATATTAACATTGCGTAAAGATACTTTTTCAAAGAAATGAAGCAAAGTTTTCAAACAGATAGGTAGCTCTGCAACCTCTTTTATGTACTGTAAACTAATAAAAGAGTAAGCCATATCAGTTTTCCATCCTTTTTTTAAACTGTGTTCTCCTAATAGTACCACCCAGATATAACAGTGTGTCTTATTGTATGGGAGCCATTTTAAGGCGCCTGTTGTAATAAAGGGTAAGAGCTCTTTGCTGTGCATGGAATTTAGGGCATCTAGGCCCATGATTTTTTTTTTTTTTTTTTTTTTAGCTAGGTTGCTGTGACATCCTGGGGTGTTTTGAGATGCTTTCAAGCATGTGCAGGATGCTGCACAAGGTTAGAACTACTAGGTATGCAAGCATGCTTCACAAGGTGTACCCAGAGATTTCAAATAGGAATCCATAGTGTTAAAAATATTCTGACCTGTTCTGTTTTTTTGGAGTTCTTTGCACCAAACTGCTTTATTTTTCCACAATCAAAAAAACAAGTAAAAATTAACAGCTTGCATTTTTTGAGGAGTGCCTTGAGCCCGAAAGACTGAAAACCACAAATCTAGGTACTGAGGAGAATGGGCACAGAATACAAAATATTTTGAATACTACTATCCCTTTCCCTTTGGAAACCAGTAACATTAACATTAGTTTTTATTGGGTAAGGGGCTGTATGGTGAATCAGAAAAAGCTTGTTCATTTCATATGTTCAAAGCTGCCAAAATGTCCCTCAGGACTCGGAACTTGGCAGCCCACAGCTGCCAAATTTAACTTCAAACATATTAGTTTAACAGTATTGTGTTCTGCTGGTATTTGGCGTTTGAGAATTTTGGAGCCTGACCCAAGGCCCGTGTCATTGGGAGTCTTTGCAGTGTTATTTGGATTAGCCCCTTATTCCTGTAGTTCACTAAAAATTAACGTGCAAATTTTTTTTCTCTGCCAGTGGTACCGAACTACTTCATCTAGCTGTGTTACACTGCAGGAAACTCTGTGTATATGCTGTCTCAGGTAATAATAATTAAAAAAAAATAGCTGACAATATCTCTCTCTCTGCAGGGGGAGGGAGTGCCAGTTTTATGTTTAGCTGTTTGTCCTCTCTAGGCATTTGCTGGAACATTTTGGTGGTAGTTTGACTGATTTTTTTTTTTCCCTCTTACACAATCCCAGCCCTTCTTCTCATACAGTAATAATTGTGTAGAAAATTAACCCTGCAGCTAATGCAGAGTAGCTACTTTGATCAGTATTTGTAGAACTGCACTGATGATTTCTAGGCTGTACTTTTCCAGGAGATGCATTAATGTTGCCTTTGTAATATTCAAAGTTCAAAGAATGATACTGCAGGTCTCCTGGTGGAATCAGTAACTGTACAGCTGACCCATTTGTTACAGCTTGTTATAGGATCTATTGCACACATTGCTGCTCAAAGAGTTACATTTACATAAAGCATGTGGAAGTTTTTATATTAAAATTTACAAACAAATGAAAATACAGAAGTAGGTGTTCCTTGTCAATAGTTTTTTGTGTATATTACTGCTCAGAAACCCAATGAATGGGCTGTGTTGGTGGTTTAAGGGTAACCTAAAATGAGAAAATTATTCCTATTCAACTGGTGTTAGGATCTTCATCTTTAAAAAATAAAATGTAGTTTGAGATTTGGAATGGCTGAAGCAGCCCCTGGACAAAATAGACTAGTGCAAGGTTGAAGGCCAAAATTGCAAAGTGAAGGGTAAGTCTTCTTTCCTTACTGTAAAAAAACAAACAAACAAACAAAAAAGTGTGTGGACAGTTTTTGAGCATTGCAGAACTGATACCTCTATTTATATGTGGGCTGGTAAATTGTAATATGCTCTCTTTTTTTTATACAGGAGGAAAGGGCACTCTTGTATGTTACATAGTACAATTTAGGGGCTCCTCTATGTTATTGCAAAGGAGTTTTGAAAATGGGGTAGCAGGGGTTCAGATGTATGACAGCATGGCTATACAAGCCATTTTTTCAACCACCTTTCTAATGGTATCAAGAACAGCAGTTGCTGTGGCTTCTCACACAATGATGATGGAGTAGCGCAGATTGCTTACCACTGAAGAGTCTTGAGTGTGGATTAATTCTGCACAGCTGCTGCTTACTCTGTGTCCCAGCTGACTTTTGGGTCTGTTCTTAGCAGAAGCCCATAGAATTAGTGCTTGTATAGAGATGAAGCTTTCAGATGTAATACGATGCCTCATGCTTGGTCTTTTCTATAGTGACACTTATCATTTGTAATGCCAAAAGACAGTTAAGCCATGCAGGCTAATTTTTTGTCAGGGTTTTTGTTTCAGTTAACAAAACTACTTGTTAATTTCAGATGACTGGAAGACCCTCTTCCTCTCCTCCTCCCTCCCCCTCCAGCCATTGAGTCCAGTTTGTAGGTATTTATAGAACAAAAATGAAGATACCAATTCTAAAATTCCTGGACTGGAACATTGTCAGATTTGAGTTAGATTTATGATGTTTTGAACTTACTTTGAGTCTCAGCTAGATCAGTGCTTCTGGGTCTTCCTGTATTCCAGTGATACTTTTTTTTCAATGCAGTGTGTGTCATTAAAAAGAGCCCCATCATGTATAATGAAGGCAAAATATGCAAATGGATTACTGCAACTTGGAATACTTAAACATCAAAAATAAAATTTGTTATTAAATTTGACATCAGAACTTTTCAGCTGTGCTTCTATAATTGTCATATAATTAGCATATAATGTATTTCTAGCCTCTCACAAATTGTGTTGCGACCACCTCCCATTCTTGCTTGCTAGGTTAAATCTATGAATGCTACAGCCATGTCACACCTTAAACTTAGGATATGTTAGCTACGCTTCAAATTGTAAGCATCCTCGTGTTCAAGCACTAAATGCATGCTAAGTTAGATTGCATTGTAGCAAACTTATGACTCTTCATGGGAGGAGTATCTCCAGATCATATTAAATAACATGTGTTTAGCTGTTGGGGATAATATAAGTAATTTGCGATCCTCACACAGCCATGACATCAGCCAGGGACACTTCTCCTGTACCAGTCTTCAAAGTGGGATCAGGTAAACTGATTTAAGGCTCCAGTCCAATGCCAGGGTAAGGACTGACAATCAGCTGATTGTTAGTCCCAGCCCTCAGACCATACCAGAATCGGTTCAAAACTCTGGGGCAGTGTTGAGACTGACAGTCAGCAAGCTGTGAATGTCTGAGATGATAGTAAACTCTACCACGTGACACATTCTTACTTTTAATATTGCACAGATTTGACACATACTAAATGTTCTGTGCAATAAAACCTCTAGATGACAGTATGAGAGACTCTGCTCTCAAAAGTTGCTTTTTTGGGATTTTCATGATCAGTTCCATTAGGCAGGCATATTTCTCCAATTGATCAGTAGAGCTCTTGATTTTTGTGTTCTAATTTTTCCACTATAGGTATCCCTAGTCAGGAGCGTTTGTTTCCTATCTATACCTGTCAATCCAAGCTTAAAAGCTAACTGTACATCAGGTTTCTTTCTAAGATAAAGCTGGGCTTGTATCCGAACAAGTAAATAATCTAAAACACTCTCATAGGAACAAAGGATTGTCAGCACCTTCCACTACAAGGGAAAGGCACCCTTCTCTGACCTTGCATTTTCTAACAAGCACAGAGCTGTATGTATATTTAAAATAAAACAAAACAGTGATGGTCCTGCTGCTACACTGCACGTGCTTATTTCCCCTGGGCAGAGGATGAGAGTAGAGGGAACCACACATGAGTTAGTAACTCATTAGACAAGTTGACTGGGGCGGTGCCTGGATATTATTGTGATTTAGGTGATAAAAGAACAGTTCTAGACTAGACTACGTTTATCCAAAGGAGAAAAGCAATGTATCTCTTGTTATTGGTTAATAGAATTTTTGAACTACAAGTTATAAGGTTTTTTTGTTTTTTCTTCTTTTGCTACCTATTAGCTGTCTCTTTAGTTGCTTAACTTGCCCATATTTTCCCCATCTTTCAGCTGTGCTGCAGGCCTTTTTTGAAGTATAAATTTAAGTGTTAGGTTGGTTTTTAGTTGTAGCAGATTATAATAGGTTAATCCAGACTCAAAAGCTTTCATTGCATTTGAAAGCAGCATAGTTTGTTAGCATGTCTTAGGAAGCTGTTGAAATGACAGTCTTTGTATTCTTGGTATTGTCTGGAGTGCTGTTACAAGGGTCAGCTTAGAGTTCATTCATTTAAGTCTCCACTTAATACTAGTAAACATAATTTAAAAATTTAATTCTAGATGAAGCTACATGAGCAATTTCTGGCTGATCTTGTTTCTTTCAGCCTGGTTTCTATACTTTGTTTCACAAAAGATTATACTGAATTTAAAATGTTTATTTTGAAAGTATCCTTCAAAAATTAAAAAAAATTCTTTAAAAAAGCCAGCAACCCTAAAGTATAGTGAATGCTTTTGCGGTAACTCGAATTACTTCAGAGAGAAATAGTCTATGACCTGCCCCTGTGTTGTTCACGACTGGCGTACATGAGATATCAGGTTGATGTTACTTGTTTGTTACTCGCTGGCTCTTTATTGTGAACTCTGAGTAATGGGTTGATATAGCTCAACTGAGAGGATCTTTTAAGGAGATAAACTAATTTTCAGATGCACCATGTTAAGTAAATGACAACTACAGACATACAGTGCAGGATGTTCTGTTTTGTCTGGCTTGTGCAAGTAAACTGAGGGTTTGTTTTTTTTTTGTGCTGAAATGTTTGATCCATATACTGTACAGAGTTGTGCCTACTCTGAAGAAAACCATTTTCATGACTGGAATATCACAGTCTCTTACAGTATTTTTACATAGCATAACAGAACAATTTTCCCAGTCCTGGCCTTTAGGTGTTGCTGCAGTATAAATAATAAGAGTTCTTAGATTTTTGAGAAAGTAGAAGTATTGACCTTGACTTGCATTTTCAAGCAACTAGTGTATGATAACCTACTATAATGCTGGTTAATTAACTGGTAAAATGTACTTCTGCTCTCCTATTTATAGGGCTGACACAAAAATAATATAGCATGTTTTTTCTTTGTTTTCCACAGGAACTTTGGGGAGTGTGGAACATGGGAACCAGTATCATATCAAACTTATATATGAACACAATCTTCAGCGAACAGCCTGCAACATGACTTATGGACCATTTGGTGGTGTAAAGGGTAACTTTGATTATAATGCAACATAACCCATTTTCTAAGATTATGAATGTAGTTCTTGATGCACATTCAAACCTGTGCTTCTGCTGAAAGTGCTACTTTTCAGTTTTGAAAGTTTCTGTGATGTGACCATTTTAATGCTATTATTTGGAATGAGAATACATTGGGAAGTGTAATTTGATGTAAGACCAATATAAAAATACAGAGGATCTGGAGCTGGAAGGACAGGTAAGTATTGTCAATGAAGTGCTGGGTTATAAGGATCCCTTGAAGTCAAATGAAGTGCATGTTTTGTTTCCTTATAATATTTTCGGTGCTTAAAAAGCTTTAAAAATGCTTCTTTAACTTCCTCACCTTAAACACTGAGAGCAGTTATTTTCATCCTCTGAGCCCAGCAGAATGCTGTGGATTTTTCTGGGGGGGAGGGGGGAGGCGATGGTGGTGCAGGTCTTGGATTATAAATGCCACGTGGAAATGCTCTTTGTCATTTAAAAGTAAAATACCTTTGCCCCACTAGTGTATTGAAACTGTCTTCTGAAATGGTAGGTAAATACTTAATATTTTCTGTGGCAAGACTGTAGATGCCTATCCCCATGAGGCTCTTATTAGAGGACACAACTATTTTTGGAGCAGTTACAAAAGGGGTAGCAGCTGTTGTGTTTTGAAGGAGTTGAGAAGGATACAAACATGTCAAAATCTCTCCAGCTTTAACCTTGCTTCATCTAGGCTTAAGGTTGGAACATTTTTTGCTACATTTGTATTATTCTCACCTTGTTCACACACAAGTAGAATGTAACAGATTAGGGCATGGACACATGTCATACATAGAACAGTTTAAATGTGATTTAACTTGAAGTTGACAGACATAAAAACTTGTTTTTTAAACTTGCTTAAAGCTGCTTGGAATTGTTCAGAATTATACATGGAAAATAAAGTATTATTTTGATTCGTTCTTTGTTATGTGGCGGCACAGCTGCAACTTGCTGCTCTGGTGCACAGCCAAAACTGTACTGCCCCTTTTATTTTCCTCTTTGTTGGAAGTTTTATCAATAAACTCCCATGTACTGCTTGGTCAGTAAAAGCTATATTTCTAACAACTAGCTGTGTCCTCACTCCCTACTTGATCAGAGCTTCTCTTCATGACCCTTCCTTCCCCCCCCC